AGGAATGGTTTTCCCTGGTCCCATCCACACCCTGATACTCCAGACCACACCCCCTGCCATATGGGCCCCCCCACTCAATCCCCTGCCTTATTTACCCCTATCTGAGCAGAAACTCCCACCTTCTACCTCTCCATCCTTCCAGCTCTGCAGCTCTGTCCTAGATGCATCACCCCCTCCCTGAACTTTCCAGGTGAGCACCTGTTAGAGGCAGAGGATAGATCAAGGAATGCAGCAGCCACACAGTGGGGAGGTAGCAGGAGGCTATGTCCACAAAGTCCTGATGAGAACTCCCTGCTGCACTCCTGCTTAGACAACAGGTAGTGCTGCCCTGCTGTCTGTCCATCAAGCTCATTGTTTCTTAGTTTTTTTATGGACAGATCCTTTTTTTTTTTTTTTTACAACTTCACAGAAAATGGTTTTTTGCCCTATTTTTTGCAGACTGTCCATTAATGTACATATAGCTGGCAACCCTGGCTGCAATAAGAATAAATCCACAGAGGAGGAAATTTGCACTGGACTAAAGGGGTGCTAGTGGAACCTCTGATAATGAAGGTGAAGGAGTTTTTCTTCTTTGTACATGTAGAAGAGTAAAGCCAGGCTAATTGTGATTTGAAGACTCCTTTTAAATTAATTACCATTTGTAAAAGCACTTTGTGATCATCATCTGAAGCAGAAAGAGATTATAGTAAGAAAGTGCTTGAGATTGACTTCAGGAACACATAAGGAGCACTCCATCATGTTCTTCCATTTACTGCCAGCTCTTATCTCAAACTACTAGCAATTATCACTAGTACTAATCACATTAGACATATTGCTCATGGTCTTATCATATGCTCATGGTTACTGATTGTTGCTTTATATGCCCATTTCTACACTCCCTAGGTATGCAGTTTGAGAGCCCAAACAATGCAGCAACATTGTACACTTTATGAAAAATATAGGCTCCTCATTTTTTCTTCTACTTGCCTGGATCAGTTTAAAGGTTTTACCATAGAGTAAAACAACAGCAAGGTTGTAAGATACTTTAAAATAAAAATATACTTAAAATAATTGTAGAAGAGAATTATCTATAACTTGCAACTGGACTTTCCTTTTTGAGCACCCAGTCATTTCTCATAACCTAACCAGTCTGCGCTTGATTGGGAGATATTCAAGGGATACTTATATGCTAAAGCAGGGGTGGCCAACCTGTGGCATACATGCCACAAGTGGCATGGACAGTCTTTGTCTGTGGTATGCAGCAAACCAGGAAGGGGCAAGCAGCACAGTGGCAGATAGAAAAGGGAGCAGGAAGTGGAGCAACAGATCAGACAGGGAGCACACAGCAAAGAGCTGAAAACAGAGCAACAGATCAGGCAGGAAGAACAGGCCAGGAAGCAGAGATCAGAATGGTGGATTGGGCAGGTGAAGGGGATCGGAAAGGTGCTCAAGGAGGACACAGGGCTTAATCTATGGCATACCTGCCAACAAGCTTGGCCCCCACTGTGGTACAGAAATGTTAATGATGATTTAATAGCCAGTGCTATCCTCTCAGATCTAATACGCTCCTAGTGTAGTGTTATTACATACTTGTACAAAACATGCTGCTAATGGTGCTAGGTAGTGTCAGCATCACTGGAAATCGCTTCCTTAACCTTTCCATGTTCCACATCTCGCATCTGTACAACAGGATCTTCACATTTACTTACCACTGTAGCTTCAAGGTAAAAATCCCTATGATATTCTAAGTAGTGTGGAATTTACAAATGAATTTAGCCACATACAATTCCTATATCCAAATGAGAGTTAAATTGCCTATCTTAATTTTTGTGATGAAATAGAGTTTTCCAAGACTTATCTAAAAGTGACTAAAGACTGAAAGAATGAGAGTGAGCCATAAAAACCAATTTTATAGCCAGCAAGCAATAACTATTAGAGTAAAAATAGAAGCTGAATATCACATATATTTCAACATTTATAACCTGTAAAGAATCTGGAATTCACAAGAATGATAATGTTAAAAGAATTAAGTAAAGTTAACTTTAGTTTGATAGTAGAATTCCCTGCATTTCTTGTACTCCTTATAATTCTCGTTTGATGTTTAGGTTCAATCATTTTTGAAGACACAACTGCTTATAATACTGCTAGGTACTGGTTTCTGAACAGGACAGAAAACCACTAACAGGTAACCGTGGCAAGCTCTGTAGATAGAAATTAGGAGGGAAAGGAAAAGCAGCACTGTGACAAGCTTTTGCTACTGAAAAGAAACAAGATCCCTTCTTCTTTTGATGTATGGGAATTGCTCTCTCAAAGCCTCATGGCTAATTACTTGTGATTCGTTTACAGACAGGGATTTACCACTCCAAGCATCCACTCTTCCTTACTGTTCAAAGTATCTGAGGATACTGCTGCATCAATTTTTTTTCCCCAAGAGAAATTTTGTTCAAGATCCAGTAATTACTCGTAGCAAAGTACAGAAATGTTTCAGATAATTGAACGGAGACTTGAATTGTCTTGAGCAAAATTTCTTTCAAAGAAGCAGAGGTGCTGAGTTCGTGGGGGCCAGAGGGCCCTGGGCACCCCCCTCCCCCCCGGAAGAGGGCTGTCACCTGCAGAGCATAAAACTTTCCACATACTCATCATCTTAGCACCCCAACTCCCAGCAAAAATAAAAGCTGTTGCCTATGCAAAAAAGTAACTATCACTCCACTGCTGCAAACAGTTGTGCTTAATTTTACATGAGTATTCCCACAAAGTCAGAAGACCTTATCATATACTGAATTTAGGCACATGAATAAATCTTTGAAAGACTGGAGACTGTATTCTAATAACTCTGTTTGTTTTTGTCCTTAGCAGTGCTCCACATTGGATCAGGTACTGACCAGTCTGATTACTAAGACCAGTTATTTTACTTTATTTGAGAATATGAATAAATTACAGAAGTTGTCAGCTAGTCTTTAGGAAAAATAAAACATTTCCTTTTTATGAAACACTATGCACAAGTGTGGATCAAGTCCAAGCCTATTGAAAGTGGTTTAGTGAAACAAGCTGTACCATTAGTTTGTATACTCTTGATTTTCAGTTAGCTTATATTGCCCTCAAGACACTGAATATTGAGGGGGGGAAAGGATGGTGTTTTTTATTATTGCTCTGTATATATAGGATTATAGGAAAGTAGGGCTGTAAGGGACCTCACAGGGTCATCTAGTCTAGTCTAGCCCCCTGCTCAGAACAGGATTGTCCTTGACTTAAACCATCCCAACCAAGTGTCTGTCTAACCCGCTCTTGAAAAATAGCAAGGATAGAGATTCCAGTTTATCTAGGTAACCTGTTCCAATGCTTGACCACCCTCAGTCAGAAAGTTCCTCCTAATCTCCAAGTTAAATTTCTGCTGCTGAATCTTGAGGCCATGGCTCCTAGTCCTGTGCCCTAGGCCACAAAAAAAGCGTCCATCTCGTACTATCTCTAATCAGCCTTCAGATTAGGTCTTCTCCAAACTAAATAACCTTGGTTCTTTCAGCCTTTCCTCATGAGTCTTGCCTCCCAGGCCCCTGATCATATTTGTTGCTCTGCACTGCAGTATTTAAAAACTGTCCATATAAAATGTAGAAGACAAATTTCTTGTTCAGAGCATAGGTGGATTAATGCATGGGCCAGCTGGCCTCTGGCCCAGGGGCCCTGCAACTCACTCCTCATTGGCAGGCCAGACAAGCGGCACAAAGTCAGTTGACAAGCTAGATCAAGCCCCACATGCCAGGATTGGATACCGCGTTGCCTCTGTGTGATGTTGAGCGTCTCACGTCCAGTATCACCCGCCTCTGGGTAGCCCCTCCCCTCGTCTCGCCTGCCACGACTTTGATGTTAGGTGTGGTGTGTAAGAGGGTTTCGGTGGAGCATTTTTACCCAAGGGGTTCCCCAATGCGGGTGTACTCACGATTGCCGCTTTGGTTGTTCCACGGGGCTCCGTCACCCCTACACCCCATCCACTCGCCAACCGGTCACTTGCTGTGGGATGGTGTCCTGCAATGCTCTGCAGGCTTGCTTGCTGGTGGTATCCTCCTCTGCTCTAGAAATAATACTCTGCCGGGATGGGGAGTCTCCCCGGACTGACGTCCTGGACCCGGCGGCCACTAGGGACCACTCCAACTGTCCCTGCCCCCGTCTCCCTTAGGGGTGGTGTTGATCGGTGCAGGGTGCCTCGCTGCTCACCCTGCGTCTCCCTTCCTAAGAGGGATCCTGGCTCCTCTTCGCTTCCTACCTGAAGTAGGGCAGGGAGCTTCCTGCTACCTTCCTCCTGCCAGAGGCGGTGTCCCTGGCCTCAGATGCTACGCTGCTGCAGAGCCACCTAGGTGAGGCTCTCTCCCTGGGGAAGCTGCAGCACAACGGACGTGCTGCCCGTCTTCTCTCTCTCTCTCTCCTGCTTCCCCCTCCTGCGGGGGTTGCTGGGGCTTTTGAATTCTCCCACGGCGGCTGCTGCGGTCGCCGCGATTGGCTTGGCTGTTCCCCTTACCGGGAACAGCTGTTTAAACAGCCGGTGTAATGCTGGCTCGCGCGGCTGTAATGACAGCTGCAGCTGCGGTCCCAGCTCCGACGCTGCCGTCCCTCCCGGGGGTGAGTAACCTGGCCGGGGGTTCTGTCTAGGGGCTGTCACTGCCTCCCAATCCTTCCTGCCCTCCGTCTGTGCCCGTGACGGCGCCGTAACACTCTGCTCAGCCCTATGCACCCAGATAGGACCTTGCATTGCCTTGAACAGCCACCACATGCCAGGGTCAGGCCCCACGCTGTCCTGCATGCCACGGTCTCCTCATTGCTCTGGAAATTTGGCAGCAGGGGACTGGTGCTACTGCTCTCACATTGCCAAATTTTCAGACTTGTGAGAATCCTCACAAGCCAAGTGACATGGCCCTGGGGGCTGGAAATGCACCATGGACTGAGGGTTGAGGATTCCCGACCCCGAGATTCTCGCCTGCCACAGCTTTTGATCTTTCACAAAATTGGGGAGGGAGGAGATGTTACACGCGCAGGTACCCGCGGGAAGGACCACACTAGACCGATGTCTGATACAGGTTCTTTATTATTCTTAGTCTGGTCTTACTTTCTCTAGGAACACCAGGCAAAGGGGGCAGCTCATTGGATTCGCCATGGAGATCCTCGTCGTCTGACTCAGACGGTAAGTACTAAGTGTTATCTCGATCAGCCGCTAATTGCCTCCTTTCCTTGCCGGATTCCCCGGCCACGGCTTGTGCCGGCGTGCGGAGCGCAGCTCTTTCGCAGTCTCTTTTTTCTTTTCCCTCCTGGCCCCCTCTCGTCCTCCGGTGAGGGATCAGGGTCCTGTTTCTTCAGGGCTGGATTGGGTGTTCCCCCACCCCCTTTCTCTCCCGCCGCATCTTGGCCCAGAGCCGCAGCTTTTTGCCGTGCCGCTGCTCCGTTTCCTGTGACTCACCACAGAAGCTGGCTTTTCAGGTAGGTAGTGACCCGAGGGGCGTATCGATCTCGAAATCTCATCACCATCTGTGAGGGTGAGTCCCTGTTTCTGGGCCTTCCTCTGAACCTCTCGCTGCAGGGCTCCTCACCCACTTCTCTCGATCTGTAAGTGCCCAAAGGCAGCTTTTCCAGGGTCTTCTCCCCTTCTTATCCCTCCTTCCTGAGCCTCATTGGCTCCAGAGGGTGTGGTGTGCCTTTTCCCTGCCGGGTGGTAATTATCCTCAGCTGCTGACCCCTCTTAGTAACAGAGTTGCAGCCATGACTCTGTTACAGTGATCTGACAATGAAGTTAGCAGGAGGGGATTGCTTAGGTTGGAGCAATACTCCTGTGCAAGTCAGGGAGAGAGGACGAGAAAACAAACAGGGGAGAGAAGAACCATGAGGACACTGAGCCAGAACAAGCCTCAGGAGAAAGCCCAGTGGGCTATGTGCTATTTGAAAGAGCCCTTGGAACTGTAAGTACAGAACTTCAATCACCCTGACATCGGCTGGGAGGGCAATACAGCACTGCACAGGCAATCCAGAAAGTTAGAGAGCGTTGGAGAAAGCTTCCTGGTGCAAGTGTTGGAGAGACTGACTAGGGGTTGTACTCTTCTTGACCTACTGCTCGCAAACCCAGAAGAATTGGTGGGGGATGTAGAAGAGGATGGCAAGTTGGGCAGCAGTGACCATGAGATGATTTAATTCAGGATCCTGATAAACGGAAGAAAGGCAAGCAGCAGAGTAAGGACCCTGGACTTCAGAAAAGCAGACTTTGACTCCCTCAGGGAACTGATGGGCAGGACCCCCTGGGAGGCCAATCTAAGGGGGAAAGGAGTCTAGAAAAGATGGTTGAAACCTTACTGAGGGTGCAGGAACAAACCATCCTGAAGTGCAGGAAGAATAGCAAATGTGGCAAGGGACCAGCTTGGCTTAACAGAGTACTGTTTGTTGAGCTTAAACACAAAAAGGAAGCTTACAAGGAATGCAATCTTGGACAAACCACTTGGGAGGAGTATAAGAATATTGCTCACACATGCAGGGATGATATCAAGAAGGCCAAACACAACTGGAGTTGCAGCTAGCCAGGGCCATGAAGGATAACAAGGGTTTCTACGAGTATGTTAGCAACAAGAGGAAGGTCAGGGAAAATGTGGGTCCCTTAGTGAATGGGGGAGGCAACCTAGGGACAGATGAGGAAAAGGCTGAAGTACTCAGTGCCTTTTTACCTTGGTCTTCACAGGCCAGGTCAGCTCCCAGACTACTGCACCAGGCAGCACAGTTTGGACAGAAGGTGAGCAGCCCTCAATGGTGAAAGAACAAGCTAGGGGCTGTTTAGCAAAGCTGGATGTGTACAAGTCCATAGGGCTGGATGCAATGCATCCGCGGGTGCTGAGGGAGCTGGCCGATGTGATTGCAGAGCCACTGGCCATTATCTTTGAAAACTCGTGACGATTGGGGGAGGTCCCAGACAATTGGAAAAGGGCAAATATAGTGCCCATCTTTAAGAAAGGGAAGAAGGAGGATCCAGGGAACTACAGACCAGTCATCCTCACCTCAGGCCCTGGAAAAATCATGGAGCAGGTCCTCAAAGAATCCATGTCTAAGCACTTGAAGAAGAAGGTGATTAGGAACAGTAAGCACAGATTCACCAAAGGCAAGTCAGACCAACCCGATTGCCTTCTGTGATGAGGTAATTGGTTCTGTGGATGCAGAGAAAGCTGTGGATGTAATATATCTTGACTTTAGCAAGGCTTTTGATACTGTCTCCCACAGCATTCTTGAAAGCAAGCTGAGGAAGTATGGGTTGAATGGACTGTAAGGTGGATAGAAAGCTGGCTGGATTGTCGGGTTCAACGAGTAGTAATCAATGGCTTAGTATCAAGTGGAGTGCCCTAACCCCCTGGCGCTGAGTTTGTTTGATATCTTCATCAACAATCTGAAAGATGGGATGGATTGCACCCTCAGCAAGTTTGCAGATGACACCAAGCTGGGGGGTGTAGTAGATAAATTGGGAGGGTAGGGCTAGGATTCAGGGTGACCTAGACCAGCAGTTCCCAACCTTGGGCCACGACCCAAATGAGGGTTGTGGGGGCAATGCTGGCAGCGCTGCACACAAAGGACAAGCCATGTTGTGTGCTGGGAGCTCCATCACCCTGCCCTTGGGCTGCTGCCGCCACCACTGCACTCTACTCCCAGCTGTGGGTCACGGCAAACAAAAGTTGGGAACCACGGACCTAGAGAAATTGGAGGATTGAGCCAAAATAAATCTCATGAGGTTCAAAATAAGGACAAGTACAAAGTCCTGCACTTAGGACAGAAGAATCCCATGCACTGCTACAGCCTGGGGACAGAGTGGCTAAGCAGCAGCTTTGCAGAAAAGGACTAGGGGTTATAGTGGACACCAACTATAGTGGACACTAACTATGAGTCAGCAGTGTGCCCTTGTTGCCCAGAAGGCTAACAGCATACAGGTTTCCCTCGCTTTATGTTGGTTCTGTATGTGCAAATTCGCTCTTACGTGATGATCCTTTTTATACCAAAAATTTGTTATACACAAGGTAAATTCACTCTTATGCGATCAGTGTGGTGGAAGCCCACAGTCAGCTGCTTTGTGCAGTGCGTTGTGGGAGTGACATGCACCAAAATATCTATGCTCCTTGCTCATTGTCTGCACCCTGTGTTTCTATAGTTGCCATCCTCATTATGGTAACATTCACCACCACGCTGTGGTTGTATATACTGTCTGCTGTTGGCGAGTACCAAAATTGTCTTGTAAAAGTAGTAGAAATGGGTCTGGAGGTCAGTACAATTGAGGTCTTGGAAAGTATCCTTATTTATTATATTGTAAAGTGGGTTCCTTTTATGCAAATTTGAGTTATGCACCCTTTTCCAGGAACGTACGTATAGCATAAAGCGAGGGAAACCTGTACTGGGCTGCATTAATAAAAGCATTGCCAGCAGATTGAGGGAAGCGATTCTTTTCCTCTAGTCAGCACTGGTGAGGTCACATCTGAAATACCATGTTGTTTTCAGCCCCCCACTATAGAAAGGAAGTGGACAAGTTGGAGAGAGTCCAGCAGATAACAATGAAAGTGGTTTGGGGGCTGGGGCACATGACTTCTGAGGAGAGGTTGAGGGAACTAGATTTATTTAGTCTTCAAAAGAGAAGACTGAGGGGGGATTTGATAGCAGCCTTTAACTACCTCAGGGGTGGTTCCAAAGAGGATGGAGCTAGACTGTTCTGTTGGCAGATGACAGAACAAGGAGCAACGGTCTCAAGTTGCAGCATGGGAAGTTTGGGTTTGATATTAGGAAAGACTCTGTCGCTGGGAGGGTGGTGAAGCACTTGAACAAATTACCTAGAGAGGTTGTGGAATCTCCATCCTTGGAGGTTTTTCAGCTCTGGCTTAACAAAGCCCTGGCTGGAATGATCTAACTGGGGACGGTCCTGCTTTGAGGACTAGGGGCTGGAGTAGATGACTTCCCGAGGTCCCTTCCAACCATAATTTCCTATTATGGAAACCACCTACTGTACCCTGAATGTTGGCTAATGACTCAGGTCAAAGGGGATAACAGGTGAGTCCCTATTCTGTTCCTTACGTGTGTCCACAGACCATCTTCCTGCTGCTCCTCCTTGACTATTCATATTTGCACAGCGGCCCTCTCAGTGTACAACATCCTTGTTCTACTCCTCACACAGATCCAGAAACCATCTATCGTTTCCACACCTCATGCACAAACCCCACCCAACTCCTCCCAAACCAGACCCTCACCATTTCAGTCCTAGACAAGACCACCAAAACTGCCTCTCATTTCAATCCACTTCTTTCCTTGCCTCTCCCCCATTCAGCTCCATTCCAAACACGAGCAAGTGCATCGCAGAGACGTTGATGCTCTTTGGCTAGTCCCCTCTGCTGTGTATTGCAGTAACAGAACAAGTTACTGCCTTTTCAATCTATTATCACATTCTAAAAAACAAAACAAAACAAAAAAACATGGATTCTTCAAGGGTCAAAGCTACCTTAGTAAAAATTGCTTTTTTTACTCAAAAACTACAAGACAGCTTTAAAAAAAAAATCTTCCTGCTATACCATTCCTTTAGATTCCTACACTCCTAACCTGTGGCCTCCAAACATATTCACACATCATTTTGCAAGTACCCTTAGTCAATTTTATTCTCTTCTTTCAAAAGTAATTCTGACCTATGCAAGTCAGGTAGAGAGGACCAGGAAAAAAGCAGGTAAGACAAGAGCTAGTGAGAGAAGTAAAAACACGTGAGAGAAGTAAGAGGCAAGAATTGTTATAGGTGACAGCTTTTACTGGATCAAGCTGCATGTCTGCCATGCATCTATGGCCCTGATTTTGTAAATACTTATGCATTTACTCAACACATGCCTCCAAAGTAGCTGGCAGCACTATTCACAGGTGTAGGGTTGCCAACTCTGAATCTATTCCAAGAGGTTTCCGGAATGCCAACATGCTGGCAACACAACACCGATGTGCCTACCTGCTTCCGTGTATCAGTTACATAGACTTCACGTCAGGAAGGCAAATGCAAATTACTATTACATTTTAAAAACTGGACTACCATGTAAATCGGATTCAACATTTAATATTTATTTTAATGAATGCCCTGTCATTTATCTCCTGGGGGGCTTCCAGTAGCCTCCTGGAGATTTATATCTAATCCCTGGAGAATCCAGGGCACTCCTAGAGGGTTGGCAACCCTACATAGGCCCAAAGTCTATAAGCATGCATGTATTTTCACAGCGGGGGACTTCCCCTGTACTGTGCTCTTAGCTATTCAGCTCCAAGCTGCTGCTGTATGTTGGCAACTTGACATTTCACTGGTTTTTATATTATTGATGAGCAGTATTTAGGAACCATCACTGTGATGTTAATAGCATTATTATTATTGCTATAATACTAATCATTATTGCTATAATAATTAGGACCACAAGTATATTACTGTTAAGCATATGATCACTTACTATTGACTAATTCGATTTATTTCCTTATTATGGCTAATAAGAATAATATTAATATCGATCATATTAATATCAATATAATTCATATGAATATGAATAACAACCACAATAATAATGACGATTAGAACGACAATAACAGTAATGGTATATATTATTATATACAATAGTACTTGTTATATTAATATAATATGAATTATAAGCATGCCACAATAATTATATTATTATTATATCAATAATAATAATTGCTATCTCCTCGGTGTGCAGACCAGTGCAGACCGAGCCTCGGCCCTGGAGCCCGCGGCGCAAGCCGGCCCATGGCTGCAGCTGGGGACGCAGGATCGGGTTCCAGGGGTGAGAGCATGGTATCACCAGAAACCCGCGCCTACGCACTGAGAGTCACCTCAGCTCTCGCAGGGAACAAGCAGCGAGACCAGGGTCCGGTCACATGACCGGATTGGCTCCACGACACGCCCCTGCCACAACGCCAGATACCGGCTTCTGAGAAGACAGTGCATGCGCACCACGCGTCTCTTCCCCGGCTGCACTATCCCTCTTGGCGAGGTCGAAGGTCATTCTGAAGGTGGCTCCGAGGCACTGCTGAAGAAAGCCTTGCTTCTTTTTTTTTCAGAGCTAACTGACTTTGCTCTTGATAACGGTAAAGCCACTCGATGTCGGTGCCCGGATTAATTGAAAGACGTAGTTGGTAACTAAGGGCGTGGGTCACGTGATAGGTACTCTGAGGTCTCTCGCCAGGAATAAACATGGTCTCCCGCTTCTAGTGGGCCAGTCGCGTCCTGTGGGACCGTACCACTTCCGGCCGGGCGGGCGGGGTGCGGGACTGGTTCATTCTCCTCCTCCCCACTGCCGAGGGCATGGACGGCTTCGTGGAGCAGCCGGCCCCGAGGGAGGAGTGGGGCAGCCTGACCCCGAGCATCCATCTGCCCCTGCTCCCGCGCTTGCTCTGTCACCCAGGTAAGTGGTACTGAACGGGTTGGGCCCAAAGATACAAACCAGCCCTGCCTCATGGTGCTCCTTGATTTGGCACATGCCTGCACACACATGTACAGGTATATATGCACGTGTGTGGACCTGCAGGTGTGTGCACCAGGGTTTGAATTACAAGGGAGCTTGGGGGGCTGAGACCCCCCCCCCCCCCCACCGGCAAAGCCCCCC